ACCACCACCACCACACCCACCCCCACCCCCCCCCCCCCCCGCCCCCGCATAACCTCCACACCGGTCAAACTCCACCATGGCCGAGGCGACAGGCAGCGGGCGGGCCGAGACAGACATGAACATGAAGAACCCGGCCATTCGGCGGCTGCTGGCAGAGCTGCGTGGCCTCCAGACGCGACCCAATCCCCGGCTGGTGGCCTATCCACTGGGCGATTCGCTCTTCGAGTGGCACTTTTCCATCCGTGGGCCCGAGGGCACCGCCTTTGACGGCGGCGTCTACCACGGCCGCATCTACTTTCCGCCGCAGTTTCCCATGAAGCCGCCCGACTTTGTCTTCCTCACCCCCTCGGGCCGCTTTGCCACAAACGTCAAGATCTGCCTCTCAAACTCGGGTTACCATCCAGAGTCGTGGCAACCATCATGGAGCGTCGAGACCATGCTAATGGCTCTCATCGCCTTTATGCCCACAAAGGCAGAGGGCGCCGTCGGTGCTCTCGAGTATCCCGACGATCGTCGCCGCGACATGGCGGCCGCCTCGCTCGCCTACGTCTGCAAGGACTGTGGCCGTGCAAACGCAGATCTTCTAGAAGAGATGGAGGCCGTCGAGGCCGCTGCTTCGTCCACCGATGGTCCTGTTGAGCCTTCTTCCGCACCGGCCCCAGCACCCGCACCGGCCCCAGCACCTGCCCCCGCCGATGGTCCGACTTCTCCACCTCCGCCACCGTCGTCCGCCACCCCCGCTCAGGCCCCTGCACCAATCCTGCCGCCGACACCCCCCCCTACCGCCGCCGCTGCCTCGGCCGCACAGCCGCCACCTCCCCCTCTTGCTGCTCTCGGCGCTGATGCCGCCGGCCGCCCGTCACGCCGCGCCCGGCGCAAGTCTGACGGCTCTTGGGAGCAGCCTTGGGAGCGGGTCGCACGCAAGGAGCGCGAACGTGATGTCCGCCGCCAGATCAAGGCCATGCAGTCGACCGCCCGCGGCCTTAACCAGTGGATTGCTGTCCTCCTCTTTCTCTTCCTTCTCACCGCTGCCGTCGTCTTCCGGGCCGATCTTGCCGACTTTGTCCGCCCCTACCGCAGCTCGAACCCACCCGGCAACCCACGCCCGTAGAACAGCACTTCCACACCCACCCACGTGCGCACCTGTAGCGACAACATCCCGCATCTCATGATCTGCCGCAATCCCCCGCGCGTCAACCGTCATGTATCGCGCTCTGCATCGCCGCACTTGCCGACGTTTTAAACCCCATCTCCTCCACTCCCCTTCCCTTCCCTTCCCCTCTCCCCCCCTTCTTCCCCTCTTCTCACACAGCATCGTGTTGAATTTGATTTGATTGTGCTGGAGGCCCGCCCCTCTGGCGATGTGACCGAGCCCACGTGTCAGGCTGCTGCTGTTCCGCAACTCAGTAGCATGCGACCCACGCTGACTGGTGCGCTGGCATGTGACCGGTAGCACACTGAGCCATTTGAAGAATTGACATTGGCACCTCACTCTCACCCCCCCCCCCCCCCTCCCCTCACCCCCTCCTTCCATAGGGCACCACCGGGCCATTGCACCTACCGGTTGGGAATGGAGACGCCACAGGTGGTAGCACCAAGACCTGTCAAAGCCATCAAGCCCTCACCCTCGCTCTTTGCTCCGGAGCCTCCCTCTGTTGTCTTCCCGGCCTTCCGTCATGTTCCTGGCTCTCACCCGCACACTACCAACACCACCGCCGCCGCCACCACCACCACCACCGCCACCGCCACCTCAGGAACACCACCTCGTCCGAGGTCGTCTTCCACCAACCAACACGTTCGCCTCCCACATCCGGCTCCGCCCACTGCCGCCCACGCACGTCCGCCTCCACACATGATCTCACCGGCCTCGCGCATGCCAATGGCTCTTGTCCCTGCCACCGTTCGGAACGGTGCCGCTCACTCGTCGTCGTCGTCTTCCTCAACCTCGACTTCGTCGGCATCGCCTCCGAACCCGCTACACTCTGCTCCCATACTTCCGGCACCGATGTACCCCATGGTCCCGGGACATGTCGGTCTCGCCTCGGCCCAGGGACACCACCAGATGGGGCTTGCCACCGCTTCGCCACCTCCTGACCTGGATCAGGTCATGGACGGTGACACCGGGCCGTCGTCCGAGCTGGCCCGTATTCTCCGGCCGACTCGCGCTTCGCGCACGGCTTCGGTTGAGGACATTCTGGCCCTCTCGCGCGAGCCTGGCGCGCCGGATCTGACGTATGCCCTGCCGCAGCGTCAGCCTCCGCCGCATGCCTCGCTCGTCGAGCGCCCGTCGTCGCCGCACCTCCCGCTACCACCGGCGGTGCCTGCCACGGCGCCCTCGCCGTCTGTCGCGCCGGCTGCCCAGTTTGCACGCACCCTCGAGGCCGAGCCGTTCCATGCCGTCCACACTCCGCCGGTGCGGACATGCAACCCTGTGGCCGCAAACTCACCGTTCCTCCGTTCGCCGGCGGTCCCGCTCGCCGCCATGCACCCGCTCATGGTCTACGCCTCGATGGCGTCAGCGTCGATGGCTGCGGCTGGCGTCGCAGCTTCACAGGCCTCGACAACGTGTCCGGCGTCGCCGGCCAAGGGCTCGCGCTCCCGCCGCAAGACCAAGCGCAAAGCTGGCGGTCGGAGCGCGCGCCCCAAGGCTAAGGCCAATGCCAAGGCCGCCAAAGCCAAGGCTTCCAAAGCCAAGGCCAAGGCCACCAAGTCCAAGGCCAAGGGTCTCTCGCGTACGCCCAAAGCTTCCCGGAGCCGCCCAGCAAGGGCTGGAGTGGACCCGGCGGCGGGATCGCCCGCGGCTCGCGCCCGGGCCCTGCTGCTCGCCGGCGGCGGGCCGCCGCCTCATCTCATGGTGCCAACCGCCCCGCAGGCCAAGCCACGGACTCGCGCCGAGTGGACTCGTCGTCGCAATCGCAAGCTTAACGTCGCCCGCATCGTTGCCTCCAAGCTCGACCGCCACCGCCAGCAGACGCCGCACTTTCGCCCGCGTGCACGCTCGCTCGGCGACTACCCTCACGACCGTGCGCCGGTAGCCGTGGTGGGTGCGGCCGCCAACTAGCTAGCCATGAACATTGTATCTGCTGGAATGAATGGACATATCTGCTCTTTAACTCCCTCAGCCTAGTCGGCCAGCATGTCGCGGATCACCGCCCGTGCGGCCTTCATCAGCTCGCTGAACTCGACGTTAATGTGCCGGCCCCAAAAGTGGTTGTTCGACCACTCGTAGACCGGATACGCCGGCGACGGAATGCCGTGCAGGATGCGCGCCACGGCCCGGGCTGAGATCGGCCCATCCAGCGTGCGGAGAAAGACCTTGATGTCGGCGCGGACGTGTGCAGAATCCTTCCGCTGCTCGAGTTGCAGCCGCGGGAGGAGCACACCTGCGTTCGTCGAAGGCTTCTGCCGCGAGGCAAAGTACTGCGTCATGGTCGTCCGCAGCGCCGCCTCGTCCGAGTCGGCCACAAACGTCTCCAGCGCGCGTCGGATGGCGTTGAGTTGGTTCAGCTGCGCCGCCTCCAGCCGCGCCAACATCGCTGCCAGGTCGCCCGCCAGTGCCGCCACGTCTGTTGGCGTTTCCAGCACTCGGTACGCTGAGCACCAGTCGCTCAGCTCATACTTGAGCTGCCGCGACATCGACGCCGCAAAAAGCATGCCCGAGACCTCAGTCGGCTCGCGCCCGAGCGAGCTTGCGATCTGCTCCAGGTCAACGTTGTACACCCACTTGGAGCTGTCAGCCGTGTCGCGTCCGAGAATGGCCCGGATGAGCGGGGCGTGTTTCGACTCACCGGAGCTCGCGTCGACCAGAGACGCCGCCGTCACCGCATCTACCTCGCCATTGAGCTCGTCGAGAAAGGCGTTGGTCATCGCACCAGGGGCGTGGGCCTTGCGCACTGCTTGCCGCGTCGACGCTGCGGCCAGGCTCGACCGCTTCACGTTGCCCTTGATCCACACCTTGGCCGACTTGTGGCAGCCAGGCTCGAGGGCGATGAGCGGGCGCGGCGCCACTCCGCACGGCGCAGGCAGCGAGAGGTACGCCAGGACAGTGGCAATGACACCCGACTTGACGTCCATCTCGCGCGGCAGATCCTTGAGGGAGACCAGCTTGGTGGCAGGGCCCCGTCCTGCGCCAGCTGTCGGCTTGCCCGAGCGCGTGAGGCCAAACAAGTGGCGCAGCAGCGCGCGCAGCGAGTATGGATCGACCGAGTCGGCATAAGCAAACGAGCGCGACATGATGTAGTCCGAGTCGTGGAGAAAGACGTGGCAGTAGCACGGCTTGCCATCGCGCCCGCCGCGTCCAATCTCCTGCACGTAGTTCTCGATCGACCGCGGCATGTTGTAGTGGATGATGGCGCGGACGTCGGCCTTGTTGACGCCCATGCCAAAGGCCACCGTGGCCACCATAATCCGCACCCGCCCGAGCATGAATGCGCGCTGGACACGCGCTCGCGCCTTGGCCTCCATGCCGGCATGGTAGCATTCGGCAGAGATCGAGTCCGAGTTGAGCCGCGCCGCAACCTCTTCAGTCGTCCGCCGCTTCCCACAGTACACAATGATCGAGTCGAGGCCCGCAAACGGCTCGGTCTTGAGCAGCGCCGCGAGCTCGTCGACGCGCGACAGGTCCTGCATGACCGAGACCGACGCCGAGAGCTGGAGATTGGAAGGCACCCGCCCGCTCGAGATCACGCACCCGGGGTCGCCGTTGCGATCCAGGCTGAGCGAGTCAACAATGGCGTCGACCGTTGCCGCCGTCGCCGTTGCGGTCAGGCCGAGGAACGTTGTCACTCCAAACTCACTGGCGAGCGTCTGATGCAGACGCAGGTACGCTGGGCGGAAGTTGTGTGACCACTCGGAGACGCAGTGCGCCTCGTCGATGGCCACAAACGCCACAGATATCTCGGCGAGAACTTTGCGGAACCGCTTGGTCTCCAGCAGCTCCGGCGAGACAAAGAGGATCGAGATCCGCCCGGCCTTCAGCTCGGCCTCGATCGTCTTGCGCATCTCATACGACTGCGTCGAGTTGATGGTCGCCCCAATGAGGTCCGGCGGCAAGTTGCTCAGCTGGTCCGCCATGAGCGACACCAGCGGCGTGACCACAAGCACCACGCCGTCCACTAGGAACGCCGGCAGCTGGTAGATGCTAGACTTGCCCGAGCCCGTCGGCAGGACAACAAGCGTCGACTTTCCGCCAAGAACCCGTTCGACCGCTTCGCGCTGGCCCGGCCGGAAACCCTCAAAGCCAAACAGGCTCGTCGCCACGTCTTCCAGGCTCAGCTGCCCGGCACGGAAACCAGCGACTACGCCGCGTGCGCGCGCCGTCATGCCACCCGCATACGGATGGCTGTCGTCGTCGTGGAACGCCGCCGGCCCGCGCACAACTTGGGTCGCGGCCGTAGACGTAGACGGTGCTCCCCTGGTGCTGGCATCAGTGCTGGTCTCGGCGTCAGCGTCTTCGTCCACCACCGAGTCGAGGTTGCCGATCGCATCGGCGACGGCCGAGTCGAATGCCTGCATGGCGTCGTCGCCGCCGAGTGCCGCCGAGGCGGCTTCGGCCACAGCCTGTGCCGTCCGCGCCTTGCTCACGCCACGGCCGCGCGCCTTGCGCACGCCGCGCCGCTCGCCGGGCTTGTTCAGCTTCATCGCCACAAAGTTGCTGGAAACCGATTTGGGCCCGGTCGGCTTGGAGATGTCCTTGCGGACCTTGGCAAAGCCTGACTTGCGCTTGGCTTGCGGCGCATACACGTCGTCGTCGTCATCGCCATTGGCGCGGCGTGCTGCAGACCGCTTGCGTTTGCGCTGGTTCGCCGACGACGAAGCAGCCACCGATTTGGGCTTGGGCTTGAGCTTGGGCTTGGACTTGGACTTGGTCGCTTTGGCCGGGGGAGATGCAGCGGTCTTGGCGACGCCGGCGGCCTCAGCGGCCTCTCCGACGTCCTGGCCCATCTTATTGCGCATGCGGCCAACCCGTGACGACGGACGCGGCACAATCGGGCGTCGGACGGGGACACCCGCCACTGGCGCAGCCTCAGCGACCGGCAGACCTGGCACTGCGTCCGAGGACGCTGAGCACTCCATGTCGGCGACGCCAACAGAGGCCGTCGATGCCGATTCAGAGTCGGAAGCCTGTCGGCTGGCCACCGCAGGAGTTGGCTGGGCCTTGGACTTGCCCGAAGCTTTGGCCTTCTTGGCCGGAGCCTTAGCTTTGGCACCGCGCAGCTCGCGAGCGCGACGCAGGCCGCGCGACCTGGCATTGCGCTTGCGACCCTCGCGGCCATAGTGGCGGCTGCTGGGAGCAGAGCCAGCGCTTACATGCGCACCACCAGCTGCATACATGAGCTGGATCGAGTCGTACTCAAAGAGCGCCGAGTCCATGCCCGGCGACGCTGCCTCGGGATTGTTGCGCCGCTCGGTGACATCGCGGAGCGACTCTGCAAGCGACTTGAGCGGTACCGTCGACGGCGGCCGCGAGAGCGCAGCTCCGGGAGCTGTCGCCGCTGTACTCCTTTCAGTCTTCGAGTCGCCGAGGCCGACGGCAAAGGCCGAGAGTGAATCGCGTGATCGCGAGCGTGCCAACAGCGAGCCCGAGTCCCACGACGACGCCGACAACGAGCGCGTGGTCCGGATGATGGTGAATGGAGCAGACTCTGGCCGCGGGACCATGACCGATGGCGGCGGCAACTGGACGCTGTTGGGCTCGGGCGCCGCGAGACACGAGGCTGGGCGCGGAACAGGTGAGGCGAGCGGCGGATGAGCAGGACCAGCGAGTTCGAGCTCAGGCAGTGGCTCAGGCCCTGGCTCAGGCCCAGCCTCGGACTCGATGGCGGCTCGGACCCGATGCGGCTGGGGAATCTCTGGCTGCGGAGCCAGGGTCCTTGCCCGCGACGCAGCCAGCGATGCAGCCAGCGGAGCGAGGGCCTGTGGCTGCGGCAGATGAGCAGCCCGCGAAGCGGCGAGATTGGAGGACGAGAGGGTGCGACCGAGTCTCTTGGGCATGGGCATGGATGGCATGAACTCGACCAAACCCATACCCATTGAAGCCTGACGATCCTCCATGGCATGGCTAGTCCCCCTTGACTTGTCCTCCACCCTTGCCGAATGTGCAGCCAGCACCGACTTTCTCGGCGAGCCATTCATAGGCAGCGGCGCCGTTGACGGCTGGAGGGCAAGCGAAGGCTCTGCCGCACGATTCTTGTCCCTTCTGGGCTCCAGCTTGCGCTTGAGTCTCTTGTACATCTTGTACTTGTCCGCTGTGTGTATGTGTGTGAGTGTGAGTGTGGGTTGGAGGGAAGGGGATGGGTGGGTGTGTGTGTGTGTGGGGGGGGTGGCAGACTGTGGTGTGGAGGGGTAGATTCCACGACAGGGCGGGGCAGGGGGGGCAGGGGCAAGGGGGCGGGGGTATGTGCGTACCCATGGCCCTATTGGCGCGGATGTCAGCAACACTGGGTGTACGCTCATGCTCTGCAAAGAAGCTGTACTCCCAGTCCTTGATGACTCGCTTGAGGCGGCGCAGCTCTTCTGAGAGCATGAGGTGTGGAGTGGTCGGTTGGGTGAGTGGGGTGCCGGTGGCTGGAGGAGTTGGGACATTTGGACGAGGCTGGTGGGCACGAGGGGAGATTACGGCTGGCGATACGAAACATTCACGGCTCTGCGGCTTGGGCACGGAGTGCGGCGGCGGCTTGCTGGGAGGCGTGGGCGAGGTGTGGGAGCGGGGCGCGGCAGACGGGACATTCGAGGCGGATGTCCATCCACTGGATGAGGCAGAGGGTGTGGAAGGTGTGCTTGCACGGGGTGTGCATCCAGAGCTCGGTGCGGGATCGCCCGGGAGGCGGAGGGTCGAGGTCGACGCGCTCCATGCAAATGGTACATGTCGGCTGCTCGCCGGCCGAGTCGGCGAGGATGACGGCTGGCGGTGGATGGTAGTTGTGCGGCGGATCGAGCCAGGCGGCAGGTACAAAGAACCGCGGGCCAAGGCGGGCCTGGGCGAGGAGAATGATGACTTGGCCAGCGACGAGGAGCGTGAGGGCGGTAAAGGCGCCTGGAGTCGGCGGGGTGTGGAAGACATTGGTCGGACAGAGCTGCATGTACGCCGGAATAATGAGGCGCGAGGCCGAGGTGCCGAGAACAAAGACGGGGGCGAGCGCATTGGCGGTGTCGCGCTGGGCGTTGGTCACAATCTGTGGGATCCAGTAGGCGTGGACAAGGAGTGAGAACCACGGCCAGTGGCCGTCAAATTGGTACATGGCGGTGATGCCGATGAGGAGGGCGACGTAGTACCACGAGTACAGCCTGCAGATGCGGACGCGGACAGCGAGCCAGCCAGCCGCCCAGTCACCTGCGTTTCGCGCCCGCCACACTGCAAACACGTACCGCATCTCGTAGACAAACGAGAGGACAAACTTGACAAAGGCGGCGATGGCAAACGACGGAGCCAGACGCGCTGACGAGAGACCGGAAAAGTGCAGAAGGCAGAGGTAGCAGTCAACAACCGAGAGTGCACCGATGGCGAGCATCGAGACGTTGGCCAGGACTGGGTGCGCCCGCGAGTGTTCGAGCTGGATCACAAACGCGGCGAGCTGCGCCACGGCGGTGGCGGCCAGCATGACCAGGTACCACATGGTTTTGCGCTCAAACTCGTACGGGTCAACCGAGGCCAGCTCAAACTTGAGCGTTAGCCCACACTTGGCCGACTTGAGCACGCCGTTGGTGAGGACGACGTGAACCTCATCGACGTGGCGCGGCGCCGGCGAGCCAGTGGCGTCGGCTGCAGCAGTACCGATCAGCGACGTCGGAAGCGCGGCGACGTCACCGGCCGTCGGCGGTCCACGGAGCGGGCGTGAGACGTCGGCGGCCTGCCGCGCGAGTGCAGCCTCGTTAAGGCTTTCATGGACCTGAGCCGTAAGCTGCCACGAGCACATCGATCGCGGGGCAGGGCGCAAATTGAGGAGGTCGAGTCCGACGCGGTGAGACGGCGGGGCGGAGCTTGCACCAAGCCAAAACCGGGCGCGGGCGGCCATGGTGTCCAAGTCGTGCACCGCGGCCGGTAGTACAGCACCGGCGGCAAAGGTGGCGTTGTCCGAAACAAGTACGGGCTCAAATGCCAGCGGAGCGTGCTCATGTGGCGGGGTGAGCGTGAGACTGAGACTGTGGCTCTTGGGGTCGATCAAGCCCGACACGAGATAGACCTCGCCGGACGCGCCGAGGTGCGACGAGGCAAGGAGCGAGAGAACACCGTGGACTCGGATGGTGCCGTCTGCTGAGTGGGCGAGAGAGGCGAGCCAGCCGGCCATGTATCCCCCATCGTCGAGGACCAGCGGCAGGGCGGCAGCCTTGAGGCGGGCGGAGCGATCGTCGGCGTCGCCCGAAGCCGCCATGCGTGGGACCGGGTGCCACGCGCCCTTAAAGCTTGTCGAGACGTTGATGGGATGGACGAGCGAAGTGAGGGTCAGCGGGCGGATCGGATGCGCGAGGGCCGACTCAGGGAGCGAGTCGGGCTCGCGCCAAGGCCATCGACCAGCCACTACATCATGAACGAGGGCCTCGGCCTCAGGATCTAGTGCGTCTAGCGGCGAGGACCGCGACGGAAGGGCGTGCCATGCCGAGAGACTGGGTGGTGGTGGTGGTGGCGGTGGGGATGCACTAGGGAGCTTGCGCTGAGCATCGGTGCCGGCAGCAGCAGCGGCGGCAGCGGCGACAGAAGGCGGCAGCGGCAGGGTGACGGCGTCGAGCTCAGTATGCCACACGTGCACCCGTTGGCAGAGGGTGACCGAGGTGAGGCAAGCGAGGAGAAAGAGAAGAGCGAGGAGGGTGAAGCATGTGTGCATGTGTGTGTTTTGGGGTGGGGTGGAGGGGTGGGGGAGGGGTGTGGGGTGGTGTGTGTGTGTGTGTGTGGCGGCAGGCGGACGGTGAGCGCGTCGAGTCGTCACAGAGCGGGGGCAGGATCAAGTTATGATTCAATGGAGGAGTGCAGCTAGCGGGTACTACTGCTGGGCAGAGGCGCGGGCGGCAAGCTGGTCGACGATGGCGTTGGACATGACCTGCAGACCCTCGCCAGTGCGGACGAGATCAGCGACGTCCATGTAGTCGAGGTGGGAGAGGAAAGCCTCAGCAACTTCCTCGTTCTCGCCATCGGTGAGGAGCGAGAGAAAGTCCTGCAAAAAGGCAAAGGCATCGTACTCGATGACCTCGTCGTCGTCGAGGACGGCGAGCTTGCGGACCTTCTTACCTTTCTTGCCCTTGGGCGTCTTGGACTTTGAAGTGGAGACGTCATCGTCATCGCCGGCCTTGGCGCGAGCGGAGCGGCGCTTGGAAACAATGATCTCACCAAGGTCGTCGATCTTGCGCTTGCGGTTCTTGGTCGAAGCTGTCGACGTCCGGGTCGAGCCGGCCTTGCCCACCCGCGACTTTGGGCCCTTGCGGCCCGAGTGTGAGGCCGAGCCGCCCGACGACGGCGACGCCGACTTGTTCTCCAGCGTCTTGTGGCGCATGTAGTGGACGCCGCACGAGTTACAAAGCGACTGCTCGCCGTCGGGACCCTGTACTCCATCCGCATTCCCATGCCCGAGCAAGTCCGCGCGCGCCGTTGGTGAGTTCAGGAAAGGTCGCACTTGCCGGCGGCCGGCCGCTGGCTGGATCGGCGGTGATCAAGGCTTCGTGATCAAACCACCGGCTTGATCGTGATCACCCCGGACGTACCCGGCGCCACAGGGGCGTGTCTGACTTGCCGCAGTGAATGCAGGGCGCGTGCTGGTCCATGGTGTGTGATAAGTAGTGTGAAGGAGGGGGGGCTGAGGGGCAAGAGCACCAGAGGAGGGACAAGTGTGTCCCTGACGTCCAGCTTGTCCTTGCGCTCGGCTGACGGCTTTATCCTGCAGTGGTGGCTGGCGGCCCGCTGGCGGCCCGCCACCCGCGCCACCGATGCCAGCGACGTGGGTTAGCTCTGCACGACGCCCTTGGGTGTCGGAGGCGGGCGGCGCGGAAGCATGTGCGGAAGCGGCGGGTGGACGGCAAGTTGCTTGAGGTACGAGTTGATCCATGCGTCGGGTAGAGGATCGATGATGGTCTGCGAGACCGATTCGTGATCGTGGCCGAGCATGTCGGCTACAGCCCCGCGCCACTCGCGGCCGAGGACCGGCAGGCTCGAAACCGGCGGAGTCCGATCTGGATGGTAGACAAAGGCGGCAAAGTCGCTCCCTGCTGCTGACGGTGCATAGGCATCGCCGTCGAGGGCGAGAGTCGGCAGCGATTGGGCCATCCGGCGGAGGCCTGCGGGATTCTTCCGGCTCTCGTACTTGGCGGAGAGCGTGGCAGGACTTGGCACAGCATCAGCCATGAGAGATCCGGCCGGTGCCTGGCTTTCCCACCTCCGCATGGGCCTGTGCGAAGCCGAGTACTCGTCGACATCTGCAGCAAAGGTGACCCTGTGCCCGGACGAGCACCTGCTCATCCCCGCATCGCCCGACGAGTCGCCCACCGACGACGAAGCAAAGCCCAGATCAACCTCCACCGAGTCCGAGTCCAACTCGGAGTCGCAGTCGTTGTCGTCGTCCTTGCCATGTCGTCGTCCTCCCTCGCTTGTGCCTGGAAACAGCGCAGGGCGGCAGGGTGCAGGGCCGAGCCGCTCGCCTGGGCCTTGTAGGTATGCCAGAAGCTCGTTGGTCCGGGTGACTTTGTCCTGTCTGTCGGTCATGGTGTGTGTGTGTGTGTGTGTGTTGTGTGTGTGGATGTGTGTGTATGTGTGGTCGTGGTGGTGGAGTGTGGGTGGGTTGGTGGTAGGTGGTGGTGGTTGGTGGTCGGACAGGCGCGCTGTGACCTGCGAACAGCCGATGATTGGGATTCTGTGTGTGTGTTGTCAAAGGCCAGTAGTCTGTGATCTGTGGAGGGCGGTTCGTCTGATGCTGCTAGCGGACCATGTGGAGATGGCTGGGACGGACAACGATGCGGATCTCGCCAAAGGGGAGCGTCTCGCCTGAGAGCGAGAGACGGGAGGGAGAGGCTGGGACGATGTGGAGCGCACTGGCCTTGGCAAAGAGGGTGTGCGGATAGGTGACATGACGTCCGGATTCGATGGAGATGAAGATGCGGAGGGCGCCGAGGCGCGAGGCGCCGCTTCCGAGGATGCAGACATCGAGGGCGCCGTCGTCAGCAACTGCGCCCGGCGAGAACTGAATGTCGGCCGCCTGCCACGCCACGTTGACGGCGGTGCAGAGGACAACCGGGGTTGGGATGGTCCGCCAGGTTGCTTGGGCGTCAGAGTCGGGGGGAGAATCGGCATGGAGGCGATGCCACTCGGGCGGTGCGACCGCTGGCAGCGTCGCCGGATCGACGTAGTAGTCGTGGCCGGCGGCGACAGCGCGGGCATGGGCGGCAGGGGCTGGAAGAAACGAGATGGTGCCCTCGTAGTGGCGCATGCCAGCGATGGTGACAAGCGGAGCAGCGAGCGACGCCAGGGTCGGACCCATCCAGCGGAACTTGCGCTCCTGGTAGTCGTCGTGCTCGGCGACCATGGCCCACGACATCATAAAGGCGTCGATGCGGTCGACGGGCTCAGCGCCCGGCGCAAACGGCACGATGCGGACGTCCCATGCGTCAGTGGGAAGCGGGAGTGAGGTGAGAGCGCGGAAGGCGGCCTCAAGAACGCTTGCATCGCCATGCGACCGCACAAGGCCGTTCGAGGTGCCCATGGGAAGAAGCATCAGTGGAAGTTTGGTCTCCAGCCCCGGCGCAAGCTCGCGTAGCGCGTTAATGGCCTCGTTGAATGTCCCGTCACCGCCGCAGACCATTAGCGCATCAAAGTTCTCCCAGTTGACCTCGGCAATGACTCTGGTCATATCAGAAGCAGCACGTGTGGTCATCAGCGAGTGCTCTACACCGGCCATGGTCATCAGCGGCACGACCAGTGAGTCAAAGACGGCTTCGGCCGTCCCTGCGCCTGAGACTGGATTGAGGACAACAGCGATGGACTTGCCACGCCACGGACCGTCGCCTCCCACCAGTACCGGCGACTCTAGCATCTCCCGCAGCCGCACTTGGATTCCGTAGTACTCTTTGGCTGCATGCCAGGCGGCGTAGACTGCAACAGGATGGGGGGGGGTGAGTGGGGCCAGTGCGGTGCAGGAGGAGAGAGGCGGGCGGAGAGGGGAGGGGCTAGTACGTACACCAGTAGACTATGTACATGGCAGAGGCTACAACCAAGGCCTTCATTCCCACTGAGTACTGCTCCCATTGCGTAGACCAAGTTGTGCCCATGGTGGTGGGGCTCGAGTGGGGTGGCACTCGCACTGGCACTCGCACTGGCACTGGCTCTGTGGTCATGCGAGGTCATGGCGTGGTTGATCTGGTGCTTGACATGCTTGGTGGGGCGGGGCAAGTGCGTTGACAGCGCGGTTGCTTGCGCCGTGGGGGAGTGGAGCAGGACAGGGCGGGCGACTACGGCGAGGGATCGGATGTGGCAAAGGTGATGCCCGAGTGCGACGAGGATTGGCCGCAGGAGAGGCAAGTTGTCGTCACGAGCTTGGCCTTGATGCGGACCTTGGCCGAGATGTGTGGAACGAGGATGATATCGCAGCCCTTGCAGAGCTGGCGCGAGATGGATCTGTCTAAGCGGAGAACGAGACGGCGGGCGAGCTCGCGGATGTTGCCCACGTAGTGGCGCGCCAGATCGGGTGAGAGCTCGACGACTGCCACCGCGGCCTGGACGAGGTAGTTGATGCGCTCGTAGACCACCTTGTGCTTGACTCCGCGGCCCTTGGCGGCCTTGCGAGCCTTGGCGGCCTTGCCCTTGGTTGGCTTGGCCTGCTTGACCGGCTTGGCGGGTTGCGCAGGGGCGGGTTGCGCAGGGGCGGGTTGAGCTAGTGACGGCTTGGGCGTGCCGTCCAGGCCCTTCTGCCGCTTGGGCGTGACCTCGGCTTCAGACATGCCCGGTTGGAGGCTTATGTATATGTAGTTGTATATGTGTGTGGTCGGTGAGGTGCTTGGTGCCCACAGGAGAGAGCAGTATGAGGGCGAGGATGGTCACGCCGCTGAGAGCAGCGTCTGCAGCAGCGGACGAGCTGCCGACGCGCGCCGTGCCGCTGTGACAAACACGCACATCGGCTGCAGCTGGTGGTGGCAAACGTGGTAGCAATCGCATGTACGGCGAGGAAGGAGGGGGGAAGTTTGATCAAAAGTAAGAAGTGTTAAAGACAGCGCGATCGTGTGCCTTCTTGGCCTCTGATCGCGGAGTGGCGGAGGCACCGGGACGGGTGGCGATCGGGCGCTCGAGGCGCGGGGCGTAGGGTGGAAGGAGGACGGCAGCCTGCTCGGGCGTGCACTTGCTCAAGACATCACCGCCAAACTCCTCCAGATAGGCGCGGCCGTAGCCGTACGAGGGCGTGGCGAATCGGAAGAGCGCCACGCGTCGTTGGTGATCGGCAGTCCAGGGCAACGCGCCGTGGACGGTTGCCTCGGAGAAGAGCACAACGTCACCCGGCGAGACGACCGGCTGGTGGATGTGCTCGGCAAAGGCCGGCGCGTCGCCGGTGGCAAATTCGGGCGGGACCGGAAAGTTAGCCTTGTGCGAGCCGGGCACGACGCAGAACCCGCCATCGCCGGCTTGGGCCTCGGAGAGATGGACTGCGCACGCCAGGAGCGATGTCCACATTTGCCCCGCCACCGCCCGGTACTGCAGCTCAGGATTGAACGTGCCGGATGAGGTGAGCGGCCCACCATGGAGCGAGAAGCCCTCGGACCCGCCGTCCTGCACGAGTACAATGGGCTGGTGGTCGAGTCGGTAGCCCTCGCCGAGAAGGTCCACAAGGTACGGCGCAATCCGAGGGTGGACGAGCAAACTGCGGAACGCGTCGCCTGCAACGCCTTCCCAGCCTAACATACCGCCGAGATCACGTCGTGAGCCGGGCGCCGACAGCGCGCTCCCGTCCTTGGCGTTCTTGAGCGCCCCGGCGTCGCGCGACACTGCCTCGGACGCGTGCGCATCGACGGCAGCTTGGAGACTGGCAACCTCATTGGCATCAAGCACGCCGCGAAGAACAATGAATCCGTTGAGATCAAAGAGAAAGCGCTGGGTGGCATCAAAGCCCGAAGATGTGGCTGACGACGACGACTCCGACATGCGTGACGCGACAGACAGGTAGCGGAGCGGGACCAGAGTGCGCGACAGGCAGCGGAGCATGCAACAGGAAGCTTGGGCGCGGCTGCGAGTGTGTGGCGATGGAGTTACACCCCAAGTTTACGTCGAGGCCGTGTGCGGGTGAGGTGTGAATGCGCGTCTGGCAAGTCTGCTCAACAGGTGCGCGCTGACGTGTGCATAGTCCAGGGTGTCTGGGCCACGATGCAGGGCAAGGTGTATGGATGATGTGTTAAAGAGAGAGTGTTGATGTGCTGGACGACTTAGTGGACAAGGCCGAGGTACTCCTCGACGAGATCAGCGGCATGCTTGGCGCAGGCTGCGGTCTCGTCGGCAGTAGCGTCGATGTCTGCGCCGTCGGCGGTGCGCGGGCAGTTGGCGAGCGCCTTGCACGACGCCGAGTCATAAAGGAACGCCTCGCCTGGGGACATTTTCACGTCGTCGCCCATGAACGGGCCGTGGTCATGGAAAGTGAAGCATGCGTAAACCATGGCGGCGCGATGGGCTTCGGCCATGGCGGAGCCACACTTGCCGCCGCCGTGGAGGAGGTTGTCGTGCTTGCCATCGTGGCCGTGGCGGTGGCCGTGGCGGTGGCCATGGCCGTCGTGTTGGCCCTGGTCGTGGCCGTTGTGTTGGCCTTGGTCGTGGCCGTGATGGTCGCCGCCGTGTTGGCCCTGGTCGTGGCCGTCGTGTTGGCCCTGGTCGTGGCCGTTGTGTTGGCCTTGGTCGTGGCCGTGATGGTCGTCGTCGTGGCCATGATGGTCGTCGTCGTGGCCATGATGGCCATGGCCGTGGCCGTGATGGCCATGGCCGTGGCCGTGATGGAAGCCGTGACGCAGGCGATGGTGGGCGGCATGCAGGCCGCCGACCCGCGCCGGGTAGTTGGTGACGACGCCGTCGACGCCCCACGAGGCGACCTTGCCCATCGTCTTCTCGTCATCGATGGTCCAGACCCAGACCGAGAAGCCAGAGTGCTGCGCCTTGGCGGTCCACGGCTTGCAGAGGCCGAGGAAGCCAAACTGGAGGCCGACGTTGAAGCCCTCGACGCCGAGCTTGCGGTAGGCGTCAAAGGCGAACGGGGCCACCGGGAACGGGGTGATGACAATGCGCGGTACGTCGCCAAGGCCGGCGGCGGTCGCAGCCTCCAGACACTTTTTGTCCCAGCACCCGATGCGGACCTGGGAGCGGACGCTCGCTGGCGCTGCGTCGAGCGCCGCCGCGACGCCGGCAAACAGGCCGGCGCCAATGTTCTTGGTGTCCAGCAGCAGGAGTCGATCAGGCATCGCTGCCATGGCCTCAAGCACTTCCTCCAGCCGCGGCACGCGCGTTCCGGCAAACTTCTCGCTCTTCCACGATCCAGCATCGAGTGTGGCGATGTATGACCACTCCAGATCGTTGACCTTGCCCTTTCCGTTTGTCGTCCGGTCGACGGTCGTGTCGTGCATGCCGATCACTACGCCATCTTTGGTGATCTGGACGTCAAACTCGACAGCAGCGCCGTGGACAGCCAGCGCAGCCTTGACCGCCGGCATGGTGTTCTCCGGAGCGTCACCCGACGCCCCGCGGTGCGCCACAGCCATCGGCCCGCCCCGCACCGCCAGCCAAACCCCGCACGAGCCAGCAAGAGCCAGCACCACCACCGCGCCCACCACCCACCACAGCACCTTGCGCTCCAGCGTCCTCTGCTCCGGAACATCCATTACCTCTGCGTCCTTGCTATCGGCGCCTTTGCCCTCTGCCTTCTCGTGCTTTAAATCCGTCTTGCTCATGCCGTCGGCTGCTTCTGTACAGGTGCCCTCCCGCGTGCGTACGTCGGGTGGTTCCGCTTGTTGGCGTAAAGAACACAACGCCTTTTTCCACTTTTCGCCGATTAATGTTGATGCGCGGCGAAACAAGTAAAACCGACGAAAACGACGGACTTGGCCACGTTCACCTGCGGCGGCACTGCCATGTAACGCCGCAAGTTGTTTAGCAGCTCATATCTCTTCGCAAGATGCCAAAGGCATCGACGCAGTCAACTTGTGGGCTTTGCCAGTGACGACGATCGAGAGTGGCTTGACACGCTGAGCTGGCACTATGCCGCGCACACAGGGATGGCATACCGCACGCACGATGCGATGATATACTGAAATAAAGCGCGACATCTCTCTCACACGAACCGGTAAAGCGACAGCTGGAAATCATGGCCACAGGCTTTATCTGCGTGCCGTACGTCTCGTCCTGAAAAAAGGTGCTGCGTTCGCCGAAAAGTGCCCCACGCGCTGCCCATCCCTCGTAGCTCCCAGACACCCCCCACCCTTCCCTACTACCATACGTACTCAAGACACTCTTGACTACCTCTGCATAACAATGGTATGCCACCTTGCGTGTTCCTCTCGAACCTTTCCCTGCCCGATTTCCCCCTTCCGCCCCGCCCCCTGGTGCCCCCGCCTTCCCACCCCCCCCATCCCGGAAGAGTGTTTGGCTGTGCTTCTTTAGACGGTTGGCGTGTGCAACACCCCACCCCCACCCCCCCCTCCCCTCCCTCCCTCCCTCCCTCCCTCCCTCCCTCCCTCCCTCCCTCCCTCCCTCCCTCCCTCCCTCCCTCCCTCCCCCTCTCCCCTCCATTCTTTGTGCAGTGTACCGCGCTCCTCCCTTTCCTCCACCCCTTCCCCTCCCTCCCTACCTTGCACCGGCAAACAGTCACCGCTTTGCGCCTCTTCCTTACATCATCATGTCTCACCATTCTCTTTTTTGCGATGGCGCCAATTGGGTGTTGCGCGGGCAGAGTCGGATGCTTTTCCAGCAGTCGGCGGTGATGATTGTGTGTGCGATTGCGACGCTTGCTGCGCTCGTGGTTGGTGACGTCGTGCTTGTTGGTGCACCAGGCGTGCTGCGCCGGGTCTCTTCCCAGGGCGTGTCAACATCGGTGGCCTTCTCGCCGCCGCTCACGCCGGCGACGGCTGTCCCGGGCAAGGTTGGTCTCAAGCTCAACTCAAACGGGCTACTCATCCCGATTCCGGAGACCCACATCATCCTGGCTGGCTCGCTCAACACAGCCGGACAGATGGAGACCACACTCGTGGCTGGCTCGGCATCGCAGGCCGGATTTGCTGATGGCGTCGGCGCCGCGGCTCGGTTCAACCAGCCGACCCACGCGGTGTCGGGCCCAACCGACACCTTTTCGTGGCCGACTCGCTCAACAACGCCATCCGCAAGATTGTGCAGTCGACAAACACGTACACGGTGACGACACTGGCCGGCAACCCGGCCAAGACCGGGTGGCAGGACGGGACCGGAACCAATGCGTGGTTTACCGGCCCGACCGCGCTCGCGTACTATGACGCCGGTGCCACGCTCTTTGTGGCCGATGCCCACAACTACGTCATCCGCTCGGTCAACGTCAACACTGGAGTGGTGGTCACCGTGTCGGGCTCGCCCGCGGTCCATGGCAAGGCCGACGGCGCTGGCACCACTGGCACGTACATGCTCCCGTGGGATCTTTCCATTGTGCCGGTGGCGTCGGGCGCTACCCAGATCACGCTCTGGGTCGGCGATCTTGGCTCGATTCGGCGGGTCACCATCCCGACCGGCTCGGTCGGTGTGGCCAACTCGGGCACCGTTGCCACCGTCGCTGGCAACCCGGATCTTTCAAACTACGGACCAGACGGGTCAGGCACTTCAGTCTTTGTTCGCCCGGGCGGCATCGCGGTCAAGGACGGTTCGGCCGGCGCGGTATTTGTGCAGGCCTGCTCGCAGGGCGCGGTTGTTCGCACAGTCTCCAATGCCGGGGCAGTGACGACGCTTTCCGGCACTCAGACGACCAACGGCTGCACCGGAGCCGAGACGTTTGCTATGACGGCGTCAACGCCAGCAGCGTTCCTCAACGGGACGAGCTCGTTCATCACCACCGCCGGCGCGCTTGTGGGCCACGATGAGACGTTCCCGGTCCAGGTCGAGACGGGCTGGGCCTTTACCGAGACGGGCAATGGCAAGATCAACTGGTACCTGCAGCAGGCATGGCGTCGCCACTTTGACGGCCGTGCGACTGGCCTCGAGGGCCCGATTGTCCAATACCCGTGGTTTGTCAACGGCGACGGGTACACGCTCGGCGAACTCAACGCGGTGGCATTCACCTTTGGCACCACAACTGCCATCGGCGGGGCCAACACGTTCAAGGACCTGTTCATCCGGATTTACACCAAGCCGACCGGGACCAACGACTACACCTCGTGGTACCACTCGTCGTGGCTCATTCCGATGGCGTCGATCTCGACCGGCTCGGGTGCGCTGGTCTCGCCGCAGGCGCCAAACGCGGTGGCGACTGCATCGGACCTGCCCGGGCTCCTGGGCGGCTCCTCACCGCCACCGCCAGGCAGCCTCACCCACGAAGCCTCGTTCAACGCTGCGACCGGCAACGCCGTCCTCGCCGTCTCGCTTCAGACCGGGTCAGGCGATCCGCCGTCCGACTTTGTCATTGCCGGTTGGACCATCACCTGGGACAACCGGCCGTACACGGTCTCGACGTCGACGGCGGCGCAGTCTCAGGGCATCTCGCTCGACGGGCCGGCTACAACCTCGCGCTTTGTCGCCTCGCGCGCCATCGCCACCGTCGAGCTCCTCTGCGGCAACTTTTACCCCTCCGGCGCCGACCTCACCCTCCCCCAGGGTGCACCTCATCGGGCGGCTCGGTTGAGAAGCTCACCATTCCGGAGGGTGTCGACTTTACCATCGATTCTGCGCCGCTTGACGTCGCCACCGACCTGGTGGTTACTGGTGCCACCATCGACTGGCGCTTCGGTGGCACCATCGGCGGCACGTTCACACTCGGCAACGCTGCCACCATGATTGTTCGCGATGTCGACATCACTGCCAATCGGGTGGAGCTCGGCACCTCGGCCACATACACCATGTACCTTGCCAAGGACCAGCCGGCCGGCCTCACCGTCACCGCCGGCCTCAACCTTGGCTCGTCGGCCACGCTCCGCATCATCATTGGCTCCGGCTACGTGTGGCCGGTCGGGACCCGGACGTACATCATCCAGTTCTCACCGGCGCTCACCGAGTTTGCTGGCCAGTTTGCGCGCGTGGTGGTCGAGGCCGAGTCGACGACAGGCACGCGCTCGCTCCTCCAGGCTAGTTCGGCGACTGTCGAGTGCGGGATTGCGGTCTCGGGCTGTGTGGCGAGCAACGGCGGGGCGTCGCCGGCCTCGCCGCCCAAAAGCTCGAACGGCCTCGTCATTGCGCTCATTGTGGTGGCTGTGGTGGCGGTCGTCGCCATCATCGCCCTCACCACCGTCTACTTCCGCAACCAGCAGCGGCGCGCGGCGGCGGCGGCTGGCGTCGGCCGCCCGCAGCCGCGCCACGGCTACTACGCCGGCGACCGCAACGGTGCGTTCAACTATGGAGATGACGGCTCGGGCTCGGGCTCGGGCTCGTCGTCGTCGTCGTCGTCGTCGGACGGCGACTTTCGGCCAGAGGCTGCCCGCTACGGCACCTTCCGACCCGGTCGCAAGACGCAGTCGTCGTCGTCGCGGCCGGCCGCGGTCTCATCAACCGACCCAACTTCCAACGTGTCGCGGACCTCGCGTTCGGGCTCGAGCTCGAGCTCGAGCTCGCTGGTCTCTGGCACCGATGCTGTGTGACGTGTGTGTGTGTGTGTTTGAGTGTGTGTGTGTGTCTGCGCACCAGAACCAGCAAACGAGATGGCATCGTCAGCCGTGGAGCTTGTCAGCAACCCGCATGCCGGATGTGTCGCGCGGAAGAGCCAGCGCCCCAAGACCGCCGATGAACATGGTGCCGGCGGTGACGAGGAGGAGGAGGGCAACCGAGTGCGAGATAAGAAAGCCGTTGACAAACTGGGCAGACATAGAGCCGAGGCGACCAAAGGCGGCGAGGACACCCATAGCCGACGTACGCAGCGGAGTGGGGAACGACTCGGACGAGAGACAGTCGAGTGCGTTCCAACCGCCGATCGAGACCGCGTTGAAGGCCGAGGCGACCGTGATCACCAGCCCGGCACGGTGGGAAAAGGCAAAGAGAACGCCGAGGCCAGCGGCGGTGGTCATGGTCCCGACCAGTACGTTCTTGCGCCCGATCCGGTCCATCAGCACGGCCGACACAATGTTGCCCGGCAGGTTGGCGGCGGCAACGATAAAGACCGAGGCATAGACTGAGAACGAGAGGTTGGCGTCGTCAAAGAGAGTTGGAATCCACAGAATTAGGCCGTACCAGCCGAACGAGAGGCCGAACCAGACGATGGCGAGCGAGATCGTGGTCCGTCGCAGCGCCGGATCGAGCAGCCGCCACGCCGACGGCGTGGTCTCACGGGCCGGCTCGTCCAACGACCCAGCAGGGACAGAGCCGGCCTGAATGTTGCTTGGCCCATTGGGAGCAAGCTCAGCACCCGATGCTCCCAGAAGCGGCGTTGTGTGGCCCGATCGCCGCGCCATGCGGTTGAGGACAGACGCTGCGGCGGCGTACCGACCCTTGGCCACCAGAAACCGCGGCGTCTCGGGAAGGAGAACGAGGGTGAGGACAAATGCCAGAGCTGCAGGCCCAGCGCAGGCGGCGGCAAAGACGCGCCACGATGCACCGATGGCGCCAAGGAGGATCCAGGCCAGCGAGGCTGTAAAGATCGAGCCGACCATCCAGTGCCAGGCCACAACGGTGAGGTAGAAGCCGCGGCGGTGGACAGGTAGGTACTCGACAGCCATGGTAAAGACCGACGGGACCGAGCCACCGACGCCAATGCCTGAGATAATGCGGGCGGTGAGCAGGAGCGGCCACGAGGGAGCGGCGGCCGAGGCGAGGCCGGCCAGCGCGTTGATGCCCAGCGACCAGAGCAGCATTGCCTTTCGGCCCACACGATCCGAGGCCAGGCCACAGAACAGCCCGCCGATGAGCATGCCGACAAAGACCGCCGCTGAGAGAAAGCCCTTTTGCGCGTCGGTGACGTGGAAGCCCTTGGCGCCGGCCTTGTTCAACTCGGGCAGTATGTAGCCAATGGCCAGCAGCTCGACTGCGTCCGACGCGTTGGCCAAGCCGAGGACAGCCACCGCCACCTTGTGAAACCGTCCAATACCCAGCCTCTCCACCGCAGCATCCAGCGGCGATGCAATCCCCATGTCGACCTCCCCGCCTTCTGATCCCAGCAGTGCCTGCTCCTCGCCGTCTTCCACCAGCCCGTCATCGACCACCGCATGTCCGCCCTGCGCGCTGCCCCGCTCCGAGTCCGTGCCCATGCTGCTCGGGCTCGACCGCGAGTACGACTCCGAGACCATGTCACCAGACTCCATATGTTGTGGCCGGTGACAGGTGTGGCGGTGGTGGTGGCGGTGGCGGTGGCGGTGGCTAAGCTCACGTCCGCGACACGCACGTGGTCTTTGGGCGTGTCGCGAGCCAAGCCATTTGGTGGTGGTGGGCCGGTGACACGCAGGTGGGCGTGACTCGACCGACACACGCTGCGCTGTGCTCACGTACTTGGTCTGATCCTGACGGATGGGATGGATACGACGGAGGAGAGGCATCCCACCAACCATCGGCTGTTACACACACACACACACGCACACACACACACACACACACACACACATGCACACAAACAGACGCACCTCTGAAGATTTTGTCGCTTTAAGACCATTGGATATAGTCTGCGGTGATGCCATGGCCATGGCCATGCTGGCATCTTCGGGTGTGGTTGTGGCGCACTACCGTAGAGCCCAATTCCGTTGCCAGGCAACCCCAAACCCAAAGTGCCAGCACCGGCACCGCCTCCCCCCCCCCCCCCACCTCCCTACCTCCGCCCATCTGTCTCTCTCCCTCCTCCCCCCCCTCCCCCCCCCCCTCCTCCTCATGCGTGCATCCTCGCCTGTGCAGCGACTGCGGGCCCAGCTGGACGCCTCGCTCTACCCGCCTGGCGCAGTGGCCAACCCACTGTTCACACCCTCGGTCGTCACACCCTCGTCGCCCGGTCCATACGCACCGTACGGCCTGCCGCGGTCGACTGCGAGGTCTTCTACTGGTCGACTTGCAGGGCATGAGACTTCTGGCGGTGGTAGCCGAGAGGTAGCTTTGCCCAGCTATGCCCATGCCACGCCTTATGAGCAGCGATCGCTCCGCCCAGCGGTCACCGCCTCGCCTGCTCGCGCTGCAGCAGAGTCGGCTTCGCTGTCTGATGCTGGTCTCCTTGCCTCTCAGGACGTTCACGCGCGTTCCTCGGCGCTCTCAGCCTCTCTCGGCTCGCTCTTTCACAAGCTCGAGTCGTTGCAGGGCATGGTGGCTGCGTCGGCGGCGGCATCACCTGCGCGATCGGCCGCCCGCTCGGCCTCCCCGCCGCAGCCGGTCCGCTCGTACTATCAGACGCCACGCTCGCCTGGTCCGCTCTCCTCGACCGAGTTGCTGTCGTCGCCGCCGCCAAGAGTGCCACCAGCTGTGGTATCCAGCCCGCCAGCGGCGCTTCATGCCAATGGCCACGAGTCGACCGCCGCAACCATCGCTCGGCTGGAGGTGCAGATCATGAAGCTCGAGGCCGCCAACCACCGACTGCAGGCGCGCCCACCGGCCAACGCTCACTCGCCGGCCCAGGAGCGGGCGCTGGCGGAAGAGAGGCTGCGAACCAAGGAGCTTGAGCGCAAGGTGGCTGCACTGGAGCGGCGCCTGGCCAAGACCGAGCCGCCGCGCGACATGCGCGCCCGACTTGAGGCAGAGTTCCAGAAGCGGCTCGACACCGAGATGGAGGTCATGCATGGCCAGCACATGCGCAAGCTTCGCCCCCTCCGTGCCAAGGTCCAGGAACTGACCGACGATCTGGACACGCTGCGCGCCGCGTCAGCCCGGCGCGCTACCTCGGCCTCGGCATCTGCCGCTGCCGAGGCCGACGTCCTCCGCGCCCACATTCGCGAGCTCGAGACCGACAACGCCACTCTTGCCCGTGAGCTTGCCGCCTCCACCGCGCTAGCTGCTCGTGTGGCCTCGCTCTCGGACGAAAACGCGCAGCTGCATGCGCGGATCGCCGAGCTGGAGACCAGCGCAGACAGTAATCTCCCGCCCGATGTCGACCTCTATGATGAGATGGGCGCCCTGCTCACTCGCCTCGCCGATGTCGAGACCGACAACAACCGCCTCGCTCTCGAGCTCGAGCACGCGCTCGCCGCCAAGGCCGAGGCCGAAGCCGACGCCCTCGCCTACAATCTTTCGCTCACTGCCAAGACGACTGACACTGTTGCTGATACCGCTGCAGATACTCATTCCGAGGCCACCTTGGTTGCAGTTGCTAGCGACGGCGTGTCCGCTGATGCCGACGACTCCGAGTACGAGTACGAGTACGAGGAAGTCCAAGTTGGCCAACACGACGTTGACCATGACCACGTCGTCGACGTTGATGACGGCGAAGTCGAGCACGCACCCTCCCCAGCCATCCAGCTTGCCGCCATCGCTGCCTCCATCGCCTCGCCTGCCTCGCCACGCGAGACCCAGGACGCGCTCCACAAGCGATTCCTCAACTCGCCGTCGCGCCACCTCACCGGCTCGGCAGCCATCCACCTCGCCGCTCTCACGAGCCCTGCGTCCTAACCCCCTCCCTTCCCTACTCTCGGCGCAATACACATCTGTCCGTCTCCCCTATCCCCCCATCCCACTCCCAAGGTCGATCGAGTCCCACCTGCGTGCGTGTCAGCGTCCGCCCGGCAGTCGTCGAGGAGCGTCCGCCCGGGCACGGCACCATCCCTCTCCTACCATGCGCACTCTGGCCTACCTCACCTTGGCCCTTGCCCTACTCGCGATAGCAGCTGCCGACCCCATGGCCCGGGCCCGTGAGCGACTCCACAAGCTCGACAAAGTGCTGGCGGATAGCGCAGTGGCGGACGGCGGGACCGAGGCGGTGCTGGAGGTGCTGGCGCGGGCAGGCAGCGTGGCGAGCGGAGGCGGAAGTGGCGGTCACGAGACGGCAGGAATAGAAGCTGCGTATGCTGCTCGCTACATCCGCGCTCTCGAGGCGTACGATGCTGCCGGGCGCACGTACTCCTCGGCGGTAGCCTTCCTTGGCCTGCTCGAGACCGCCGGGCGCGGCAAACCGCGGAGGCGGCGGGATGCTGATCTCTCCACTGCTGGGTACGCATCACCGGCACCGGCACCGAGGCATGCTCCGCATCATGCTGCCCATATTCCGCCGTGCAGTCCGTCGGGCGCGCCACGGCTCAACTCGTTTCTCGACGATGTGTACGGGTGCGTGTGGGAGAGCGTGGACGACGACGATGGCGAGAGCACAGGATCTGCAAGCGAGCTTGTGGTCGAGGTCGAGGCGCTCCGTGATGCTGCAGCCGCCTCCATGGACTCACTTAGCCTATTGCTTGACGAAGACATCCCTCGATTCCTGCTTTCGGCGCCGTGGGCGTCGACCGCGCTCTCGCCCTGGCTCCGTGCGCACGATCTGTTCGCCGCCGCACTGCTCGCCGACTCGATGGAGGACCACACGCTGGTCACGTTTTTTCTTGAGCAGCACGAGGCCAAGCTGGCGAGCATGACTTCGCGGGCTGCCGAAGCGCTGTCAATGCCGGCGTCAGGCATACACTCGTCCCCAATCCTGACCAAGCTCCTGGATCTGGACTCGCCCGAGTCGCGAGCGCGGCGTGCCCCAGTGGGCTTCTTTGTTCGCGAGCAGTACTCGTACTTGCTGTACTCGTCAGCACACTCTGGCCGTATGCGCGAGGCCATTTCCGCCGGCGAAGCGTATTTGACCTTCAATCCCGAGTCGGACGAGATCCGGGGCAATCTCGAGCTGCTCGCGACAGTCGACGCCGAAGATCCAGCGTTCCAGTCGGATGTCTCGCCAGACCGGGTCGACCGTCTTGCTCTGCGGCTGCTCGGCAGCGGAACCGAGTTGCCCCACGACTCGCTGGCTGCCAACCAGGCTATGCTTGGTGAGTGCCGGGAGGCTACCGATAAGCTGCATGACAAGCTGGCCGATGTACGGAGCGGGCTGAGCGGATGCCGTGAACTAGTTGACAGCCTCTACGAACGGGCGTCAGCGGCGGCACGGGTGGCCGCGGGCTGCTCCAGTCCCGGCACAGACGCATCGTGCCCGCCATTTGCCGAGCCACAGCCTGCGGCCGACGAGATCGCGTCTGGGCTCTCGTTCTCTCGGTTTTACAGCGAGTACTCGCTCGCGCGCAAGCCAGTAGTCATCCGCGGAGGCGCGGCGAACATGACGACTGTTCCTTGGGATTATGCTCATCTCCAATCGGCCTGCGGCAGGGCGATGGTGACCCCCAAGCTGTACCGGGCACACATGGATACATGGGCCTCGCTCTCCTCGCTGGACAGCATGAGTCTCGGCGAGTTTATCGAAGCGCTCCGCAACGGCAGTCTCGTCGAAGGCTACCGTGCACCCGGCCTGCCGTATGTGTTCGACGCGTCGCTGACATACATGTGTCCTGCCATGCTTGACGAGTTTGTAGTGCCCAAGTACGTTGCCAACGACTTTTTGCAGCGGATTCCATACACGATCGACGTGCCGTACCGATCATCATGGCCGTCGCTCTTTGTGGGGCCGGCCGGATCGGGCTCGGGCCTGCACATTGACTCTTTCGGCTCTTCGTTCTGGATGGGCCTCATCTCGGGTCGCAAGAAGTGGATTCTGTACCCGCACGATACACCGCGGTCTGCGCTGCACTTTTCGTCTCGGCGCGGGACGTTTGAGGCCTCGCCGCTGATGTATCTGGATCCGACGGCAACACCGCTGATGCGCGAGGCCCACGCCCAAGCAGTGGTGGTTGTCCAGGAAGCTGGCGATCTGATGTTCATCCCGGGCGGCACTCCGCACCAAGTGGTCAACCTCGACGATGTGGTGGGCATCTCGATGAACTTTGTCGACGGCGGCAACCTCGAGACGTCGCTGCAAGTGCTGAAGGACGAAGCCGCGTGCGGATATGCCGACTCGGAGCGGCTCTATCACGCGCTCTCGGACGCTGGCCTCTTGACCGTGGTCCCGCGCGAGGCTGCGGACCTACCGTGGGCGGCGTTCAAGACGTTTCCGCTCCCTGAGGCCATTGCCGGGGGTCCGTACGAAATCGGAGTTGATGGGAGAGCTGTGGCGGGTGGCGAGTGGAGCGCGGCGAGCTTGCCGTGGCGGGCGCACGCCGGCGAGCACGCGCCGCGAGTTTTGACGATCGACAACGCTGTGGACGAGGCCGAGGCCGATGCGCTGCTGGCATTTGCGTCGTGGCCGGGACGGAAGCAGTTTGTGGAGAATGACCCCAGCGTGGCTATCCAGCGGACGTTTGTTTCGCGAACCGAAGCACGGGTCTCGCTGCTGCACCGACTGATGCACCGGGCGGCGCAGGTGCTCGGCCTCAATGACGACGAGTGGGCCGGCGGCGAGTGGTGGATTCAGGATCGAGCTGCCGACAACGTGCTCCACTTTCACGCCGACTGTGCCGAGGGGCGCGAGGAGACGACACTCAGCATGCACCCACTGGTCTCGACGGTGCTGTACCTGACGGACGTCGGCGGACCGACTGTGGTGTACAACGCGAGCGTGGCGCCGAGTGGTGGCGATTACGATCCGTTCCGCCTCGAGCCAGCAAGCCCGTCATCAGGCGCGGTGGTGTGGCCCCGGCTCGGCCGAATGCTTGCGTTTGACGGACGGCTCATCCACGGAGTGGCGCATGACGATCCGCCGAGCTCGGCAAAGCGGGTCACACTCCTCATCAACTTTTGGCGGCACCGGCCCAACGTGCTCGGCCCTGCGCCGTGGACGTGGCTTGTGGAGAGCAGTGAGGCTTCGGAGCTGGCGGCGGCCGACGGACTGCGGCCCGGCGTGCCGAACGAGACCGAAGTGACGTCGTGGGATGCGTTTGACGAGTGTGTGGTGACCAGCAACGACCCGCTACTGGCGGCTGAGTTTCTGATGACTGGCGGCGGGACGAGCGGGGTGCTGAGCATGCGACTGCCGTCATCTAGGGCACGGGCCGGCGCTCACGGCCGGGCACGGCTTGTTGGCGACGGCCTTGCGTGGTTGGAGGCATAGTCACGGCGACGAGGCAGTGGAAGGCGGGAGCGGCGGCGACGCTAGCTGCGGCGACGGCTGCGGCTGCGGCGAGGCCGGAACGGCTGTGGTGGCGGTCATGGCGGCTGGCGGCGGGAGGCTAGGTTGGGAGGCCGGGCCCCCGGGCGGCCCATCAGTGGGCAGGCCCGCGGGCGAGGCGGTGGGGAGACCTGTAGGCAGACCTGTAGGCAGACCTGTAGGCAGGCCTGTGGGCAGGCCTGTGGGCAGGCCTGTGGGCAGGCCTGCGGGAGACCAGTGGGCAGATCATCGTCGAAATGAAACTGCGGCGTGGTGTTGGTGGCGGTCGAGGCGGTCGAGCCCGAGGCCTCTTCAGACGGGAGCGATGACGGGGTGTCGAGCGACGCGAGGGATCGGCGGGGTGACCGAGGACGGTGCGGGACCGGGACGACCTGCGGCCTTGCGGGAGCGGTCGGTGGAGGTGGTTGACGCCGGGGACGGAAGCGGCGGAAGCGGCGAATGGCCACCGCTTGCGGTTGGCGAGTCGGAGGTGCCGAGCGAAGTGCCTGTCTTGCGGGTGTCGAGGGTGGGAAGGATGGGGGTAAAGGTGGGGGTGGCGGATCTTGCGGAGAGTGTGACGCCGACGTAGCCGGGAGAGCGGTGGCGCGGGCGGGCACGGCGGCGTGGCGAGGCGCGCGGGAGCGCAAACGGGTCCGAGTCTGAAAAGAGGGTCGAGTTGGAGGTGAGCGACGAGACGGTGGACGAGGTGTGCGAAGAGGCAACCGATTCTGGCGACGAGTCTGCTGGGCCTTCGAGAGCGGCGAGGTCGTACTTTGTGATGTGTGGGACCGAGCGCGGGGTGGTACCGCCGGGCACGGCCGGGCTTGCGGTCGGCGAGGCGAGCGACGACGAGCCAGCCTGCGGGAGCGACGAGCTCGAGACTGAGGCCGAGTCGGCGGGCTCTCGGTTGAGCGAGGTCTTGCGACGCCTGGAGGCGGAGCGGATGGAGGCAGCCGCAGCAAAGGCGGCGGCGAGCTCGGGTGCCGAGTCCGGCGTTGTTGTGGGAGGAATGAGTCGCGAGAGAGCAAACGAGGCACAGGAGCGGACGGCCTCGTCGTCTGAGGTCGAGTGCTCGAGCAGCAGGGGCTGCGGGCCGGATTGGGTGAGGAGGACGGCGCCGAGCGGGAGGAGGGCAAGGTTAGCCATGATGCGAAGGGTGTTGAGGACAACGTCTGGGTGTGGCGTGAGTGAGAGGAGCTGAAGGAGGCGCGGGAAGAGCTGTGCAGAGGAGTGGAGCATGCGGAGCTTGACGGTGTCGTTGAGGGCGAGGTTGGCGAGGGCACGCGAGGCGTGGCGGACAATGTCTGTCGACTTGCCGCGGAGGAGAAGGCGCCAGAGGAGCTTGAGGCCCTGTGCCGAGCCGACAAACTCGCGGTTGTCGTCGACCGAGGCCAGGTTTGCGAGTGCGCAGACGGCGAGGGTGACGATGCCCTTCGAACGGACAAGGGCAAGTGCTTGGAGCGGCGGGAGGGTGCCGAGCTCGAGCATGCGGACCTTGAGGGCATCGTCGACAAGCGAGACGTGAGCGAGGAACTTGGCAAGGAGCTTGAGGAGCGGCTTGGGCGCGACCGAGGTGATGAGCGAGAGGATGCGGCGAAAGGTGACGCCCGAGTCGTCCTGGATGAACATGCGGGCGAGCGGCGGGTCGGCGGCGAGCGCGCAAGCAGTGCGCAGCGCCAGCGAAGCAAGCTCCTGGTCGGGCACAAAGAGAGCGTCCGTGAGGAGCGGGATGCAGCCTGCGTCGACCAGCGGGGCGCGTGCGGGTGCGCCGAGGGCGAGGTTCGAGGCTGCGCCGAGCACGTTGTGGACCAGCTGCGGCGAGAGTTGCGAGAGGCCTCCGCGGAGGACGCCGAGGAGCGGAGCTAGGACGCCTGTGCGGAGGAGATGCGAGTGCATGTCGGGGACCTGGGCGAGGTTAGCGATGGCGCCCGTGGCGTGGACCTTGAGGGCCGGGGCGCCAGCGTCGACGAGAGCGACGAGGGCCGGGAGCGCAGCAGCGCGCAAGAGGCGCTCGTGAAGCGCCGGGTCAGCCGAGAGCTGAGCGAGGCCGACGGCGCCGTGCGAGGCCACGGTCGGGTTGTTGGACGCAGTGCAGGAGACGAGATAGGCGAGCTGGATGCAGTCGAGGCAGATGCGAACAGGCTCGTGGTACCCGAGATGAGGGAGGGGGATGCGCTTGTTGGAGCACGAGTTACAGAAGACAGCGCCACACTGGCGGCAGTGGTGCTTCCATCGGAAGAGTGAGAAGAGCAGGCCACACTTGAAGCACTCGGAGGCCTGCTTGTCGTCGACCCAGACCGGCCGCAGTGCCTCGGGGCCCGTCAGTCCAGGCGTCACGTCCACCACCCCACGCCTGCCTGCTCCGGACCTTCCGCCCGGTGCAGCCATGGCTGTATGTGTGTGTGTGTGGTGGGTGAGAGAGAGTGTGTGTGTGAGAGTGTGTGTGTGGTGAGGTGTGTGTGTTAGGGGGA